TGAAAAAGCTATGTTTCTTTGTGGTCATTCTTTTCCTTTGTAGGTTAAGGTTTTCAAAACAGTTTTCCTAGTAAGAGCCTCTTCACTGGGTATTTCCAGCTTTACAATGAAAAGAAAAAGGCCCTGTTCTAGCGTCTACTCACATTTGCTGTTTTACAAGAAGAGTGTGCCACTAGCCTCTGCTACTGGGATTTGAAAATGCTCACAACACTTCACCTTTATGCCGGGCTAAACTCAGGGTAGCCATAAACACTCTGAAGTAATACGAACCTAAATATTCCTGCTAGGCAAACGGAGTACTGGAACCGAATTATAATGAGCTAGCAGCTGTCACAATATGACCACAGTAACCAAATCAAAATATCAACCGCTAACCCAGATGAGATTCAAAGGTCATCCCATAAGCCAGCAGCTTTCTTCGGTTCTGCCTGAAACCTTGATCTAATCCTGCAGTAAAATGTTCCACTGAGCTAGTTTAGAAACCAGTTACTCTACGGTGGGAAATTATTTAGTGCACTAAATAAGTGGTAGAGTACCATTAGTGGGACTAGAACCGAATACCGCAATAAGGAAACCGAATCATTCACAAAAGGACATGTAAAAACACAGGAGCTGATGTTGAACTAAGCTGCACCCAACCGTAAAAAGTATCACTTTTCACATCCTTCAGTTACCAATGCATGTCTATAATCTTATTGGCAACTTGCTCACTCAAACAATCTAGTTTTCAATTAAGGCTCTGGAACAATAGAAGGAAAATGCACGTTTAGATTGTTCCTTGGATCAAAAAGTTTTAGCTGGAAAATACACTGTATGCCACTATAAAAATATTTGGACAATTACTTGCAAAAGTTTAATGCTTGGCCAAAAGGGGGGAAAAAAAAAAAAACTAGGAAAGTGTTTTAAAAATTCATACTCTTTGCATATAAGTTCTTGCCAGGATCTGCAAACTATTCCACAGCATACAGTCCTCTTACAAACAAGGCTCAGACCCATGAACTTTCTGTCCTATCAGCATATTCTGAAAGCCACCCACTGACCACCTGTAAAGGTTTAATCAAACTATTTAAAACAGCAGCAAACAAATTTCCAACAGATCAAGTGTACATTATTATCATTAATAATCATAGGTAGTCACAAGGAAGAAGCGATTTGTTTTCTCTTTAATACAAAACAGGACTTAGAAATTCAAACAAGTAAAAATGCAAACTGGTTTGTCTCTACTCAATGAAAGCAATGAGTGAGGACTCAGAAAATGTCAGGTAAGAGGATATATTGATTGGTCGATGCGGGCTGTTATCTAGCTGATTCAGTACTTAATAAACTTCTCAAATCCTCCAGACTCCCCCACACCAAAAGAAAAAGAAAAATCTATGCACACTTATTTTTTTAAAATAGGGGCTTGTTGTTTTGTTTATTTTAATTAAGTTCTTCTTTAAAGGATGTACATAACATCAGCTTCCAAAACTCCATATACCAACTCCACTACAGAGAGCAATGGAAGGAGAAGCACCTTATAAACCAAGAAGTGTCATGAATCCATCTACATAACATGAGTTTGTGTGCGCATACACGCACAAGCACACATGTGCTCATTTGTTTATTTTTAGTTTAGGGATTCATTAACTATCAAATAGAGTACTATATTCAGATATGCAACTTATTTCAAAGAAAAATGAATGGAGACACTCTATTACTCTTATAAATTATAACCCATTTTGCATAAGTTTGAGACACAAAGAGTTTCATTATTGCGGTACCAAACGTAAGTATTATATTATAAAAACTGTAACATTTATATAAACCCATTCATGTAAAATCAAAAAGTTCAGAATTGTAATAAAGGGTTTTGTGACCATAAAAGAACTTATGAACGAATGTTAGCAATGCCTGCATCATTTCTCCAAAATAGTGTACTGCCATAAAGAACAAAATATATAATATTAATTCACTCCCAAAAGGAGAGAGTGGTTCATTATTTTTTTCTTTCCTTGTAATAAACTAAATCTCACTAAGTGAACAGT